GGGAGGAGGAGGTGGAGAGGGAGGGCGGGGGAGGAGGAGGAGCAGGGGAGGGAGGCCGGCCATCGGGGTTTAAATTTAGACACAAATCTAAACAGATACTGTCCCCTCCCAGGGCAGGGCTCCAGCGAGGGAGCCACCTCGCTCCATTCATGTGCCCAAACATGGGATGGGACAGCCGCCGGCGCCTCTTCCTGGAGAAGTGTGTCCGGACCCTGGTGTCCGCCGCGGTTTCAGCCCTCTCCGCCTCTCCCTCGTTCAGTGTGCCTTCTTCCTTTTCCTGCCCTGAGAGTTAGAGTTGTTCTTTCCCTCTTTGATCTCCCCTCTTTTATGGACATCCTTCCTGCTTCCTTTCCATCTCTTTTCCCCCTTTCATTGCTTTCATGTCACACATGCTTTTCCCGGCTGGAGAGCTGTGTGAGGTGGATGCCCGTGTGAACCCCTGGCCCAGAAGACAGCAATGCACACGGAGCCCCGCACTGTGCGGAAGGGACAGGACCCTTCCCTTTTCAGCTCTACCGCTCCACCTCCCAGCCTCCCATTTTCACAGCCAACCTGCCCATCCCTCTTCTGCATGCTAGGAAGAGGAGGAAGAGGAGGAAGAGGAGGAGGAGGAGGAGGAGGAGGAGGAAAAGGAGGGAGAGCAGCAGCAGGAGGAGGAAGAGGGAGAGCAGCAGCAGGAGGAGGAAGAGGAGGAAGATCAGCAGCAGCAGCAGGAGGAGGAGGAGGAGGATACAGAGGAGGAGGAATAGGAGGAAGAGGAGCAGGAGGAGGGGGAGGAGCAGGAGGAGGCAGAGGAGGAGGAGAAGGAGGAACAGGAGCAGGAGGAGGCAGAGGAGGAGGAGGAGAGAAACAAGGTGTCCAAGCTCCCCCAGCAGTAAACCTTGGTGGATGCAGGGATTTCAGTTCCTCCAGCTGCTGGCCGAAGGGCCTTCTCTGTTCCTGTTAACTGAGGGAAGGGGAGCGAGGAGGCAGGGAAGAAGCTGCGTGGGAGGGAGGGGCTCCCGGCCTGGGGACTGGAGCTGCTTCTTTCTCTGCTACCAGGGTAGGCCCGGCCACCAGCCCTCACCTCGGAGCCTGTGCGTGAGGGGGCTGGCAGGGAGGCCTCTGTGTGGTCCCTAGGCTGTCAGTGACTCCGCCCCCATCCCCAAGCCCTGACCTGCCACCACCCGAGTAAGGAGAGCCGTCCCTGAGCTGGACAGTGGGCCTGGTGCTGCTGAGCTCTGCTCCCGCTACAAAGAACTGCCTGGGTTCTGCTCCTCATGCCAACCTTCAGCCTCAGACACGCCGCCTCCCTCCCGTCACACAGCCTTCCGAGCCTGAGCTTCTAGAACACTGACAGCCCTGATGCCAGAGTGTTTCCCACGTTCAGTGAACTCAGCTGAGCATGGGGCAAGACCCTGGATTTCTGAAACAGATCGAGAGTTGAATTTCAGCTCTGTTGCTTTCTAGCTGTGTTTCCATAGACAAGTTGCTTAACCTCTCTGACCCTCATTTTCCTCACCTATACAGTTTAGTAGGCACTCTGAAAAGACTAACGCTTTATAATGCTTAGGCCCATGTGCAAGTTCAAATGAATAGGGACCCGGTATTTTTCTTATTTAGAGCTGGGCATTCTGGGCTCCCCAATGCTGGGAATTAATGCTGAGTCCCCTTCCCTCTGGCAGAGCATCAGAGGTGAGGGCGCCAGAGGTGAGGGCGCCAGGGGTGAGGGCGCCAGGGGTGAGGGCGCCAGAGGTGAGGGCGCCAGAGGTGAGGGCACCAGGGGTGAGGGCGCCAGGGGTGAGAGCACCAGGGGTGAGGACGCAAGGGATGAGGATGCCAGGGGTGAGGACGCCAAGGTGAGGGCGCCAGAGGTGAGGATGCCAGGGGTGAGGGCGCCAGAAGTGAGGATGTCAGAAGTGAGGGCGCCAGAGGTGAGGATGCCAAGGGTGAGGGCGCCAGAAGTGAGGATGTCAGAAGTGAGGGCGCCAGAGGGAAGGATGCCAGGGGTGAGGGCGCCAAGGAGAGAGCACCAGAGTTGAGGGCGCCAGAGGGAAGGATGCCAGGGGTGAGGGCGCCAAGGAGAGAGCACCAGAGTTGAGGGCGCCAGAGGGAAGGATGCCAGGGGTGAGGGCGCCAAGGAGAGAGCACCAGAGTTGAGGGCGCCAGAGGGAAGGATGCCAGGGGTGAGGGCGCCAGAAGTGAGGATGTCAGAAGTGAGGGCGCCAGAGGTGAGGATGTCAGAGATGAGGGCGCCAGAGGTGAGGGCGCCAGGGGTGAGGGCGCCAGAGGGGAGGGTGCCAGAGGGGAGGACGCCAGAGGTGAGGGCGCCAGGGGTGAGGGCGCCAGAGGGGAGGGTGCCAGAGGGGAGGACGCCAGAGGTGAGGGCGCCAGGGGTGAGGGCGCCAGAGGGGAGGGTGCCAGAGGGGAGGACGCCAGAGGTGAGGGCGCCAGGGGTGAGGGCGCCAGAGGGGAGGGTGCCAGAGGGGAGGACGCCAGAGGTGAGGGCGCCAGGGGTGAGGGCGCCAGAGGGGAGGGTGCCAGAGGGGAGGACGCCAGAGGTGAGGGCGCCAGGGGTGAGGGCGCCAGAGGGGAGGGTGCCAGAGGGGAGGACGCCAGAGGTGAGGGCGCCAGGGGTGAGGGCGCCAGAGGGGAGGGTGCCAGAGGGGAGGACGCCAGAGGTGAGGGCGCCAGGGGTGAGGGCGCCAGAGGGGAGGGTGCCAGAGGGGAGGACGCCAGAGGTGAGGGCGCCAGGGGTGAGGGCGCCAGAGGGGAGGGTGCCAGAGGGGAGGACGCCAGAGGTGAGGGCGCCAGGGGTGAGGGCGCCAGAGGGGAGGGTGCCAGAGGGGAGGACGCCAGAGGTGAGGGCGCCAGGGGTGAGGGCGCCAGAGGGGAGGGTGCCAGAGGGGAGGACGCCAGAGGTGAGGGCGCCAGGGGTGAGGGCGCCAGAGGGGAGGGTGCCAGAGGGGAGGACGCCAGAGGTGAGGGCGCCAGGGGTGAGGGCGCCAGAGGGGAGGGTGCCAGAGGGGAGGACGCCAGAGGTGAGGGCGCCAGGGGTGAGGGCGCCAGAGGGGAGGGTGCCAGAGGGGAGGACGCCAGAGGTGAGGGCGCCAGGGGTGAGGGCGCCAGAGGGGAGGGTGCCAGAGGGGAGGACGCCAGAGGTGAGGGCGCCAGGGGTGAGGGCGCCAGAGGGGAGGGTGCCAGAGGGGAGGACGCCAGAGGTGAGGGCGCCAGGGGTGAGGGCGCCAGAGGGGAGGGTGCCAGAGGGGAGGACGCCAGAGGTGAGGGCGCCAGGGGTGAGGGCGCCAGAGGGGAGGGTGCCAGAGGGGAGGACGCCAGAGGTGAGGGCGCCAGGGGTGAGGGCGCCAGAGGGGAGGGTGCCAGAGGGGAGGACGCCAGAGGTGAGGGCGCCAGGGGTGAGGGCGCCAGAGGGGAGGGTGCCAGAGGGGAGGACGCCAGAGGTGAGGGCGCCAGGGGTGAGGGCGCCAGAGGGGAGGGTGCCAGAGGGGAGGACGCCAGAGGTGAGGGCGCCAGGGGTGAGGGCGCCAGAGGGGAGGGTGCCAGAGGGGAGGACGCCAGAGGTGAGGGCGCCAGGGGTGAGGGCGCCAGAGGGGAGGGTGCCAGAGGGGAGGACGCCAGAGGTGAGGGCGCCAGGGGTGAGGGCGCCAGAGGGGAGGGTGCCAGAGGGGAGGACGCCAGAGGTGAGGGCGCCAGGGGTGAGGGCGCCAGAGGGGAGGGTGCCAGAGGGGAGGACGCCAGAGGTGAGGGCGCCAGGGGTGAGGGCGCCAGAGGGGAGGGTGCCAGAGGGGAGGACGCCAGAGGTGAGGGCGCCAGGGGTGAGGGCGCCAGAGGGGAGGGTGCCAGAGGGGAGGACGCCAGAGGTGAGGGCGCCAGGGGTGAGGGCGCCAGAGGGGAGGGTGCCAGAGGGGAGGACGCCAGAGGTGAGGGCGCCAGGGGTGAGGGCGCCAGAGGGGAGGGTGCCAGAGGGGAGGACGCCAGAGGTGAGGGCGCCAGGGGTGAGGGCGCCAGAGGGGAGGGTGCCAGAGGGGAGGACGCCAGAGGTGAGGGCGCCAGAGGTGAGGATGCCAGTGGTGAGGGCGCCAGTGGTGACAGAGGTGAGGATGCCAGGGGTGAGGGTGCCAGGGGTGAGGATGCCAGAGGTGAGGATGCCAGTGGTGAGGGCTCCAGTGGTGACGGTGCCAGAGGTGAGGATGCCAGGGGTGAGGGCGCCAGGGGTGAGGATGCCAGAGGTGAGGATGCCAGAGGTGAGGGCACCAGAGGTGAGGACGCCAGAGGTGAGGACGCCAAGGGATGAGGGGTCCAGGGGTGAGGAGTCCAGGGGTGAGGGCGCCAGAGGTGAGGACGCCAGGGGTGCGCCAAGGTGTGGGCGCCGGAGGTGTCCGCGCCAGAGGTGTGGATGCCAGAGGTGAGAGCGCCAGAGGTGAGAGCACCAGTGGTGAGGGCGCCAGTGGTGACGGTGCCAGAGGTGAGGATGCCAGGAGTGAGGGCGCCAGAGGTGAGGACGCCAGGGGTGCGCCAAGGTGTGGGCGCCGGAGGTGTCCGCGCCAGAGGTGTGGATGCCAGAGGTGAGAGCGCCAGAGGTGAGAGCACCAGTGGTGAGGGCGCCAGTGGTGAGGGCGCCAGAGGTGAGGGTGCCAGAGGTGTGGGTGCCAGAGGTGAGGGCGCCAGGCAGAGTTGGCGGCAGGAAGGGATTTTCCTGGGATCCTGCTCTGCGTGCTGGCACTTGTGATCTTGTTTCTTTCCGTGAAGGTGAGGGACTGAGCTTGTGGGGGACCCTGGCCTTGCCCACATCTGGCCCTGGCTCGCGGGGCCTCCCTTTCTGCCTCCGTGGGGTCCTACCTGCTCAGATGGGGCTGCCCCAGTTCAGGTTTCTGGCTTCGCTGACGGGAGGCGGAAGTGCCGACC